AAACTTGGTTCTTATATGTAAAAAAAACAAAATAAATAAAAAATATAAATTTGATCCATTTGTAAGAGCTTGTTGTAAAACTTGAAATTTTCGAAAAATGTCAATTTTCGTCATATTTTTTAAGTTTTTATAATTTTAAATGTACCTGTGATAAAAAAAAAGGATGAAATTTATTTTAAAGTAAACTATTGTAAAGTTAACTATTATTTTTTAAAGTATCTTTTATTTACATTTAATTTAAATTTATTATTTTAAATTTAATTTTAGTTACATTTAATTTAAATTTAATATATATATTTTTTTCTTGATTATTGGTATTTTATTGATCACCGCTATTTTTTACTTAATAACTTTTGATTAGTTAATACACATGTGATTTAAAATAGTTTTAGCATTTTCAGTTTCATAAATATATTTTTAAAAATTGGTTGTACAGTAAATAAATCCAGCAAAAAAGGAGCAGAAGAAAAGGTAAAGTAAAATGTTCAAAGCAGTTTAAGACGATCTCTATATCTGTTAAAATAACCCATAAATGAGCTTCCAGTCAACCAGCTGCATAGTGTCAAAAATATCTTGCAATACTTTCACTTTTTGAAATCTTCAAGATAATATTAATATCTAGTTTTTATCTAACTTATTCACTTAACTCACGATTCACAAATATAAATATATATTTCAGTTGATTCTCTTTTATATAGGAGCACTAAATTTCAGTCCAGCACAGAAATTATTGATTGTCTAACAAAAACAGGAACCAGAAGTCTAGTTTGCCAGTATAGAGCATGTGAAAGATCATAGAGCATGTGAAAGATCAATTAATGAATGTGTAACTTCAGCTGTCACTGATATCTGGATAAAAGGTAATTTTACGTGCAATATTATTAGTGGGAGATATGTTAGATAAAATTCATAACAAAAAAAAAATTAATGTTTGTCTTTTTCAAAAGAGACAGTCAATATAATGATCTCAGTATGAAGATTTAACAAGCGAATAATTAAAGTTTTTTTCTGAATAACAAATTACTCTTTGAAATATATATATTTTTTTCAATAAAATAAATAATTTTAATAAAATACTGTGTTTGAAAATAATAAATTGAAAAAAAAAATCCATGAAGTATTTTTGAGCGGTTTTGTAATACATATACTCCACTGTGCGATGTTTATAATTTAAAAAAATAATGTATATATCGAAGAAAAAATTAACAAGTTGTATTAAAAAGAAAAGAACGTTGTTTTCACAGACGTTTTAAACCGCTCAAAAATACTTTATGGATTTTTTTTTTCAATTTATTATTTTCAAACACAGTATTTTATTAAAATTATTTACTTTATTACACTTATCTTGTTTTTTAGTAACTTCAGCTATGCAATATTTTGAAAAGATGGATTAAACTAAACTGGAGTTCAAGCAAAGGGATCTGGACTCAAAAGCAATTAGATTTCAAGGCAGAGGTTAATACCTTGCTTGATATATCTGTTCCTCAAATAATTGACATGATAATGAAAGATCAGAGAAAAACAGAAGAGGCAAAGAAAGAAGATAAAGCTTTCTACAAAGATTTGAGATCTAAAAGGAATATGACCATGATTGCACAGTAAGATAAAAAATTTGAAATTTGGGCTCTGCAAAGAAAGGAGAGATTTGAAATAGTTAAGTAGTTAAATGATCAGAAAAACACAAAGGCTCAAAAAGAGAAAAGGACTGTAGAAACATTTGACAGATAACAGGAGTTAACAGTCAAGAAAAGCACAGACAAAGCTTTTGATGGACAAATTTGAACAAACGAATTTGAAGATGATGTTAGCCCGTTTGAAAATTCCATTTTATGTGAAGAAGGTGATGATTCTGAATATAAAGTATTCAAATCAAAAAAATCAAAATATTTTTTAGAATTAACATCTGATGAACTAATTGAAGCTACTTCTGCTGTTAGCGCTCAGTATAGGATCAGTGTTAGGCCCCAGGCTGCTACAACTTCTGCTATCTAAAATAAAGCAGGTGTTGACTTGCATGAGATTAATTTATCAAGATCTTTTCTACATAGAAAAAAATTATTGAAAATCTTAGTAACTATTATTCACGAAAGATTTGTTTAATAAATCAATTGGAATTGATTTAGAATAAATACTACGTTAACTTGTTAAATTTTAAAAAAGAAAAAAGCTCATAGTCCATTTTGAAGGGAAACGTGTTAGGCAGCTGGAAGAAGAAAATGATTGGAGAGTTACCTGAGAGAGAATTGCAGTTAGTGTAACCAGCCCAGATTTGGAATGTAGAGATGATTTTTTGCTTGGCATAGTGCAAGCAGAAAATTCAACTGGGTAGAAGTAGGCGCATTTAATCCTCAATCTCTTGGAATACTATGATATTGTCAACAATATGATTGATGTTTGCTGCGCCAGAATTGCATTCAACATTACATTCCTATCAACTATCCTTAATACAATTCTTGTCTCCTGCACATGTTGTTGCCACATTATTGAAGTACATTTTAAACATTTGATGACTGAACTGACTGGTGCAGTCATCAAATGACTGCACCAGTCAAGACCAAGTCTTTAAGAAAAGATATTTATGTGTGCTTACAGAAGGATTTGTCAAAGATTGTTGACAAGATAGACACATCATCAGATAATCTGGTTAAGTTTAACTGGACTTCTTTAGAAATTGGATCACCTATCTATAATATAACAAAGGCAGTATTAAAGTTTGGGGACACTGCCCTAAATGATAATATTTTTAAGAGAGGAGGCTACAAAAATCTTTGTCAGTTGTTTGCTTACTACGTTAGTGGTCATGTTCCTGCTATAAAATGTCATCAGCCAGGAGCTTGCCATGAAGTAAGGTTTATAGCAGATGCAATTTATTTGCTTACATTAAAAATGACAAAGAGCATCCCAAACATCATGAACGAAAAGGAGAAGAAGATGGTTTAGACAGCTTCTTTATTTATATCTCTAACATACTGTCCTTGGTTTTTCAAAAGCTCTCTGAGTATTAAAGCACCATCTAATGATTTAGCAGCATTCAAAGACACATTTGATTTAAGTAAAGAATATCCTGAGTTTTCTCAATCAATACTGAAAAGCATGCAAAATCATACCTGGAATTTAAGTCAGTAGTTTGTTGTAATGGCTTTAGTGGATGATGATGTTGAAAAAGATAAGTCGAGAAAAAGAATATACTCCAAAAACTCTTACAGTTTCCAGTTCCTGGAAGAGTTCATGAAAGGTAAGCCTAAAATGCCTGTAATCACACCGCCTTCAACACTATCAAATTTAATTGGTGATCAGAGCTGGATTTTGTTTTGCCTAGCCCATGTTAACTATGACCAGGTTGAGTTAGATGCACAAGGGGGCTTTACTGTTTTAAACAACTTTAAATTTTTTGTTAAAAATATGGAAATCCCAATGATTGTGCAGAAAGAAATATAAAACTAATCCAAGACTTTATTAAATCATACCAAAATGAGCAGAATGTCTTATTGATTGCAATCTAATTAAAACTCAACTAAATCAGATTTGAAGTGCTTGTGATATTTGTTCAACATTTCTTTCAACAATTCTTCAACATATGCAACATATATTTCTCATAAATTTTATTATAATAAACGTTAAATAGAACTTTTTTTCTAATATTTACAAGCTTTATTGTAAAAATAGGAAAAAATCAAAAAATTTTGAAAATTTGAAGTTTTATACCAAGCACCTATAACCGTTTTAATTTAAAAATTCTAATATCTTTGGTCATATTATACCTAGTAACCGAATTCTAGATAGAGCACATCTCCTTTTTCCAAAAAAAAAAAATTTTTTTTGGGACATCCTAATGATTAGTATGAAGCTATTATAATAAAAAAATCACTTTTACAGTTTTCTAATCTTTTTTTGAATATGTAAAGTGCAAGGAGAATCATTACCATTAAACAAAAACATTATCCTTAAAACAATATGATCACTCTATGTTGGTTACAAAGGAGTAATAATGGCTGGTGAATTTTTACTCAAATAAAACCCAGTTAAAATTGACCAAAATTAAATTTTTTTTACAAATAGATACATATAGTAATAGTAACATACCAACAATCTTTAACTATTTATATTATGTGTGTGTACACACACACACACGCACACAGATAAATCTAAATATATATATATATATATATATATATATATATATATATATATATATATATATATATATATATATATATATATATATATATATATATATATATATATATATATATATATATATATATATATATATATATATATATATATATATATATATATATATATATATGTGTGTGTGTGTGTGTGTGTATGTGTGTGTGTGTGTGTGTGTGTGTGTGTGTGTGTGTGTGTGTGTGTGTGTGTGTGTGTGTGTGTGTGTGTGTGTAGATGGTAAGATACCAACAATCTTCTACTTTATGGCATCTTTTTTATTAATGTAATAAAATATTTTTCTTGCTGATTTACTGATTTAAACTCTTACATTTTCTATTATATTTCATATTTCAGCATTGTACAAGTTTTTTATTTTTAAAATGTTATTATAAAGGTTTTTTATCTCCTTATTTATCTAGCTTGTTATATTTATTACTTCTCATTTTATTACTTATCTTTATAAATCTCTTATTAAAACTAGCATGGGTCATCATAAAAAATCTGGATCTTCTAATAATGCTGTTTCACTTTTAAACAAACTGGTTAAATTTTTTTTTTCAACTACAAAAAAAGGTGCTGCTCAAACAAATCTCTTGTTCCCTATAATAAAATATATTGTTATTCTGTTAAATCACATTTTTTTACAGTGATTGTCTACATGAGCTTATTTATTTATTTTTTCTCCATAAATCAGCACTTTGGAATTTGCTACCACATTCTGATTTCCTTATTTATATAATTTACTGTCTTTCAAGTATTTAACTAAACACTTAAAATACCTAAAAATAATAAAAATTTTTACAAAAAGAAGAAACTAAAAATCTTACAAAAGTAAAAACAATATCGAGGAATCCACCTAAAATCACAGCTATGTCGAACAAATTCCAAAAATCTTTAAAGTAATTCTAAAATATAATTAAAAAAAAAATTATTTATAAAACTTTTTTATTTTAAATTTTTAATTTTAAAACTATGAAAAAAATGCAAGTTAATTCATTTGTCAACTTTCATTTTTTTTCTCTTGGTGTCATTTTTAAAAACTTTTTTTAAAAGTTCCTAAAAAGAGCTCAAACATTTTTAAAAAATCAACTAAAACTTTTAAAAGCATATATAAATATCACAAGTTTTATTTAAAATATTCATATAAAATCAAGGAATTATCATAAAGAATTTATAAGCAATTCATGAGGCATAAAAACATTGAAGCCAAACATTTTAAAAAAGATAATTTTCTATTTGAATATAAAAAAGTTTGATTTAAATGTCTCCATCCACCACTTAATCTCACTGGGATGACTTCATGGAGTTTTCAGATCAGCATAAAGGTATCACAAATAAAGTTGCTTGTAGATTATACATAATTTAATTAACAAAAATAGAAAAAAGATCACAAGTTTTCTTAGCAGAGAATTAAAGCAAAAATTAAAATAGCACTTTAACTGCAATGAAAATTACTGCACAAAAGTGAAAATAGTATTATCAAAATAAACTTGTTGCAAAATTTATGGACAATCTCTTAGTCCAAGATGCTGTAAATTTTTATTACATAAAACTTACAGTAGTTGTGGTCAAACTCTTATAAAATTTAGGTCATTTCATCACTATATTGTAAAATTAAATATAAAGCATTCTGAATTGCAAATATTCTTTAGGAAGATACATGGGTGCTTATCTATTGAAAAAATCAAATTTTTGATTCATGTGTTTTAAGAGTACCAAGAAAAGAACTTTATTAAAAATTATTACGGCTCAGTATTTGTAAATCAATTAATGAGTTTGCTATAAAGAATTTGTGTGATTGTACCATTTTTGACAATATAGTCTGGTAGAGCTTAGCTTTAGTTCCTCAAAATTAAAAAAGGAAAGACCATTGGTTTGAAAAATAAAACATTGATGGAATTATGATAATTACAAATTATATAGGTAGTTTTGAAGTTAATAACTATAAGCGATATTAAACATCTGTGTGAGACTCTTTGCAATCAGCTTCTTAAATAGCTGTCAACTTTAACAGTTTCTTTTGGTAATATACTTAAATATTCAAACTATTTACCAAACTTACCTGTCACATCAGTCATATATGTCTTATATCTTGGTGTATTAATTGATTGCAATCGTTCATGGAACCTTCATATTAATGAACTAAACAAGAAACTTAGAGTTTCTTGCTTAGTTCGTTAATATGAAACTCTCGAGCTAATGGTTCTTTCAAAACAAGCTTTCGAAAAGTCATTATTATTTCAATAAAGTTACACTAAAGAATATTTACTATGCATTATTCTCATCTCATCTTAGATATTGTTTGTCAAGTTTGGGGTCAAGTTGGAAACAATCACATTAACAAGTTGCTATCGTCTCAGTGTCAATCCATTAGAATAATAAACTTTCAACCAATTAAACCAGATACATTGAAGTCCTTCAAAAAACTTTTCATTCCAACATTTCCAGTGCTAATAAAGTATGCTAATCTTCTTTTTGTTTTTTGACTTCTTGAATAAAAACTTATGATCTTCTATCACAAACTTGTTCACAGAAAGTAAACTATGACACAGAAAGTAAACTATGACACAGAAAGTAAACTATGACATTCCTACTCTACTAGAAATATGCACAATGGAAAACTAAATGTACCATCTTTAAAAACTAAATGTACCATCTTTAAAAACTTAGAAGTATGGTAAAAATTCTATTGTTTATCAATGCGTCTGTGAATGGAGCAGGAGCCTTGCATGCATTTTGAATGAGTCCTAAAAACTATATCCTAAAATACCTTTACTCCACCTTAAACAACATCAATTTAAAAAAACTCTGAAAAACTTTTTAATTCTTACATTTAGACATAATGTCCTTACGATTAAAATATTCTTTAAATTTTCTTTTCATCATTACTACAATTATCATCAGTACTTTTTGTTTATTTTTTTCTTTTTATTATTATTAAAACTTGCAAATTATGACTTTTACATGTTTGTTTTAATGTATGTTCTATGTGCTTTAATCTATGTGTTTACTGTCTGTATTTTTCAATGTATGTCTTTGCTTATTATTACTTATATTATGTTTAAAAATTGGTGTCATTCCTTTGATCAGATTTCTGTACGAATGACACTATCCTAAATAAATCATTAACTTATTATTATAAAAAATTGTATGTTCATAACTACCCTTATAATGTTAGTTATTATTATTTTTTCATTGTAATTATTGTAAATATACTTATTATTACTATTACTATAATTTGTATTATTTTTTTTAACTTACATTATTATAATATATTATCATTATTATTACTATTATTATTGTTATTATTATTACTTTCAAAACTATTGTAAAAATGATTTATGGATATAAATAAGCTTGTTGTTATAAATATAAATTGTTGTTATAAATTGTAGTTATAAATATGGATATAAATAAGCTTATTACAAATAGATTGTTGTGGTTATTGTTGTATTGTATTCATGATCACCCTGCTATTAGTAACATGTAACCTAGTACAAACTATTCCATGCCCTGCTGCCTTGGGATTCGCTTTCTAAGCAAAAGCTGAAAAGAGTGTACTTCCTATCATCAGTACTATTTAATATTGGATATGCCTATAGTAATATATATATATATATATATATATATATATATATATATATATATATATATATATATATATATATATATATATATATATATATATATATATATATATATATATATATATATGTATATATATATATATATATATATTTATATATATATTAGGGTAGGTCGATTTTAGCTTTTTTTTTGAACTTTGAGTTGCGTAATGTTGCAGTTACTGTGTCTAGGTTAGAAATGAAGTTTTACCAAATCTCAAGTATCCTGATTTAAAAATGGCGGATTTGCATTTTAAAAATTGCGGATTTGCATTTTAAGTCTTAATTTTGGACTAGTTTTGTTAGATTTTGTTTATTTCAAACGTTGCAAAATTTTATTTTAAGTCTAGTAATCTCGTTTTAAAATATCTCGTTTTGAGTTTATAAAGTAACCAATAAACAAGCTCAATTGTTTTAAAAAGCCAATCATTTACACGCATTTAAACTTAGCAAATCTTTTTTGTATTTAAATTTCTTGTTTGTATTTTAAAGTTAGTTTTAAAGTTAAATTTATTTAAAAGTAGGTTCAAAAATAAAACTGCAATTTAAAGAAATCTTTTAATATCAAAAGTAAATACTTATGATTATTATATCTAGAGTAATTTTTTAAACTGTTTATATTACATAAGTTTTGATTTGCAATTTCTGAAGTAGATTAAAATATAAAACTTTTCGATGGAACTAATGGTTTTACTCAATTCCTGAGTTTCCTAAATTCATGGCCCCCAAATCTTTTCAAAAGAGTTTTTATTTCTTTATTTTTTATCAAAGCAGGTTTTTAATAGTAAGCTTTGATATTTTAGGTTTTTTTGATGCTTTGGCCCCTACTAAAAACTCACTCGGACAAAATTTTTGATATTTTTGCATGTTCCTGTTCATTAGATGTGTTTCCCTGTAGTGACAGAAAAGTTTCATGTAATAAAGAAAATTGCATTAAAGAACATATTGTATGCCTTTGTTCTCAAAGTAATAAAGTACCTCTGGAAGACAGAGCTTATCTTCGTGATCAGAGGAAAAAAATTTGTACAAAAGGTGCATATCAACTTTCTTCTTGACTTGATAAAGAACGACAAAAAATATCTCATAACCTAGTTAATGAAGATGAATTCCTCATAGCACAAGTAAACTTAATTGAAAAAACAAGTGGTTTGACCAATACAGAGGTAAATATTTTATAAATACATGAAATATTTGAAACAGATGAAACAGAAAGCGTTTTATTTTATTAACTCTTTTTAGGATGAAGGTGAATGGAAACCAGTAAATAATTCTATTGGAAAATACAACTTAGTTAAACTTCCATGATTTGCAATGGAATTAGTCAGAAATGAGTGTTCGTCAAACGTAGGTGCAGTCCTTGCAAATGCTTTACTACATGACATAAAACATCTCTTGAAAAATGACGTTGATATTAAAGATATTTTGATTGACAAATGCACGTTAGATAGGGCCAAGTCAAAAGTAAAAATCGTTAGTGAAGAGGTGGACTCAGAACAAAAAAAACAGTTAATTTGTCTTGGGGTTGACAGCAAGCTCGATCTAATAACTAAAACAAGTATAGTAATAAACTTACCTCAAGGAGAAGTACTAAAGAAATGCATTGAACTTAAACATCAACTCACATTTACTTATGAAGATGGAAAATCGAGTGGAAATTATTTGACTCATAGGATGATTCCTGTCACCGGTGCTACAGGTTTAGTTCTTGCTACCGAAACGTTTAGTGTTTTACAAGAACTTAACAGTTTGGAAAGTATACAAGCTGTTCTTCTTGATAATACTGCTACCAATACTGGACCAATAAGTGGCTTAGTGGTAAAACTAGAAAAGTTTTAAAAAGAAAACTACATCTAATTGGATGCGCATTACATCAAAATGAACTTTCGTTACGAGCTCTTTTTGTAAAACTTGATGGTGACACAACTGGGCCAAGAAGCTTTACTTACGTCTACTTGGCAAAAGATGTGCTGAAAATATTCAGGATAGAAATCAAGTTTTGTTTAATCGTATTGAAAACCCAATTGTAGATGGATATATTCCAGAAGAAATACTAGTAGACCTAAGTTGCGATCAAAGACTTTTATTTGAATATTGCAAAGGAATAGGCTTTAGTAAAGTTTCTGATAAATGGGCTGCCTATAAAATTGGACCGCTTAACCATGCAAGGTGGTTAAGCAAGGTGGTTAAGTCTAGCTATTCGCCTTCTCTGTTTGTATACTAGAGACAATAAATAACCTTCCCTTTGATGATGTTAAACATATTGTTAAAAAAACGTTAAAAACAATGCATTGTGCCTAAAACCTGAAAATATTCTTTATGCCATGTTAAAAGATAATGACAGCAAGATACGAAACTTTGGTTTTTAAATCCTACTGGGTCTAAAGCAAAGGTATTTTTTTATAGTAAACTAAAATAAATTTTTGAAAAAAAATGATACATTAAATGTAGTAATTGGATTTGATTTATATTTATAGAGTAAACAACGAAAGTTTGGAAAAAAATTCCAGAAATTAATTTTAATGCTAATCATTGGTATGAGTTGGTAGATATCAACATTACTAAATTTACGGAGCTCCCAACAACACAACATTTTTCAGTTGAGGAAATCCAATATGCGATTGACAATAATGTTAAACCTGAAATCCCCGACTTTCAATCCGACATCCCAGAGTGTTGAGCGAGCGGTAAAACTTGTGTCGAACGCATCCCAATATTGTTATGGATTCAAGAATTGACACAGCTGCATTTTAACTAAACTACTTAGCAGGAAGATGCGTAAACCATATATTTCAAAAGGGCATTATTCCCATTCTTATGATGATATTTTTTAATTGAAAATATTTTTCTAAAATATATATATCCATAGCCAAAATGTTTTAAATTGTGAAAACAATGTTTATTTTGATATTCTTATGTAAATATAAGAATAAAAGTTTCACTATTTAAATCTTCAAATATTTAACAAGTTGCTATAAATTTAGCTTAATTGTTATAAACTATTATAAACTTAAATCATACAGCAAAGCAATTAGTATTGAAAAACATTTAAATATGAACATAGTTAAAATGTCAAGTTTTGCATATAACGCTTTTTAAGGTGTTTTTTTACATAATCCAACAAATCTTAAAAATTAAATCCGCAAGCGATTCTTCATCCAAAATCTCTGAAATTTTGAGAGTAATCATATTTTAACTGTCTACAACTACTGCAATATTAAGCAATATGCGGAATTAAAATCGACCTACCCTAATATATATATATATATATATATATATATATATATATATATATATATATATATATATATATATATATATATATATATATACACACATATATATATATATATATATATATATATATATATATATATATATATATATACATATATATATATATATATATATATATATATATATATATATATATATATATATATATATATGTATATATGTATATATATATATATATATATATATATATATATATATATATATATATATATATATATATATATATATATATATGTATATATATATACATATATATATATATATATATATATATATATATATATATATATATATATATATATATATATATATATATATATGTAAATATATATGTAAATATATATATATATATATATATATATATATATATATATATATATATATATATATATATATATATATATATATATATATTTAAATTTGTTTATTTTTTTATCTTTTTTAGGTGATTTTGTTGAAGTTGGAGGTACATTAGTTACTGTGTTTGCTCACCTGTAATATACTTTATATGCATGTTTGTGTTCTGTTTAAGTCGTTGATGTAGTGTGAGCTAAGTAACTAACTAGTTACTCCAACTATAAAACTTACTCTCACCTTATGAGAAACAAACTCTGAATTAAAAATCCCCTGCCTTGGTGCTCTTGGTTGAGTAAAGGCTAGAGTTAGTGTTAACATTTAAATACTCATCTTGGGCTGACGTTAGTGTTAACATATAAATACTATCTTGTACAAGGTCTTCTAGGCAAAAACTTTAGGGGTAAGCAGAATAATTCTGCTAACCAGCCTCAAACTCATTCTTTATCAATTAGGCTGGCATAGATGTAAACCTGTGTTAAATTGTTTTCTGCCTAATTTAATTACAATTTTTATTTATTTATAGAGCAAATTTTCTTGTATTTTGTGAGTTTTATGGACTTCATATATGTGATGACAACACACATATAAAGCACTTTTAGTTACTAATAGTTTAATTAATAACATTCACAAGAAAACTAGATAATTACCACTCTATATGCTACTATCTTTAGAAGAGCTTCAATTAAATACAGACTAGTAAATCCTCCATTAATTTTAACCAACATATCTTTATAGTTGGGAGTCATTCCTTTATACTAAAAAAAAAACTATTCATAATAAAAGTAACAATAATAATATTTAGCCCTTGAAATTAAGAAAATAAGGCCTTGAAATTAATAAAATAATTTATTGCCAACCTTACATTTTCAAGGTTGGCATCAGGTCAGCAAAATGAACATAACACAAAGAAGTTACCATGAAACATAGAAACAAGGTTGACAATTTTTTGCTGACCACAAACACTTTAAGATTGGCAATTAGGTCAGCATTGCCAAATGTTACCCTAATTCCAAGGGCTGCAAATTAACAACAACAATAACAATATATACA